AACCCTAAAATACATTAATACTCTTGTATTAAAAAAAAAGTATACTCTTGCACGCTACTTTTTTTTTCTCTAGTTGAGTCACTGTGAGATACAGTTACAAAGCTTTCCTGTTTGAGTTTCAGTCATACAATGATGGAATACCCACCGGTGCACCAGTGCACATCTTCCACCGGCAGGCCCATATCCAAATGGGATGGCCAAGGAGCATCCATCAGGGCTATTCCAGGAGCACTGTGCCCCCCGGGTCAAGCTACAGGCAGGCTCTCACTGAGCCCCAGCCCACTCGGGGGACTGGGCCCCCATTCCCCCCCCTCAGTGTCTTTCAAACGCTTAGATCTTGGATGATAATCCAAGTTCTGGGTGTCCTGAAGGCCTTCACGACACCCATGCATTTTCAAAACCTTAAAAATGTCACGCGTTCCCATTATAAAAGCACCCAGGAATGTAAATCTCTCCTCTTACCCTGACTCCCCTTCCCTGGTTCTGTGATTCCAAGAAAGCAACAGATCAAACAAACACCTGCAACGAGGGAAGCTAACAGGGACCCGAACTTTGGATAACCCAGGCAAAGATCTCTGACCAAACAACTCAAATCCAATGGTAACACAAAATAAAGTTACATATATACTATTTCTTGCCTTTTTTTTTTCATTCAGAATAAAACCCTCATTATCCTGTTTGCTTTGTTGTGTAAAGCAAGTACAGCGAGGAATGTACAACTCCTAAAATAATCCTAACGCTATTTTTTTTTTTTGCCACATGAAAATCTTCTTAAAGCGAGTTGGCAAAGGCTCACCTGCCCGTTTACTCACAGAAGATGAAGAAAAACGAAAGCCGCAGGACAGAGTACAACGGGAAAAGCACTGACCTTGCACTTGCTCAACCTGGGTTCGCTCGCCAGAACCCAATACGGTCAGCCCACTAAGCCCCGTGAGGAGTGACCCCTGAGCACCGCCGGGTGGGGAGGTGGGGAGGGAGGGAGGGACGGAGGGAGGGAGGGGATATTAAACAAACATTTGCTCACCCATGTCCCTGGGTCCAGCAAGCAGTCCTTTGGTGTCTAAACTGACTGCTCTTCCTTCCAGTTTGATTGAGGCACCATGATTTAGAGCACCAATAACAATACAGTTGAGGCATGCAATGCTCCAACTCCGTAAGTGCCAGGGTCCTCTCCCGACGCCCACCACACCCCCTGGCAGACTTGACTGTTATTCCCGTACTGTTTCTTCATATCCCACACCGGAGAGAGGTCACTCTACCTCTGCCCTCCCCCCTTGCCTACTCTCTAGTTCATCCACATTACAGCAAATTGCACGGTGTCTAAGTTGTTTTTTTTTTTTAAATAATCTGAAACACTTGGCAGAGCAATAGCACAGCGGGTAGGGCATTTGCGAGGCTGACCCGGGTTCGATTCCTCTGTCCCTCTCAGAGAGCCCAGCAAGCTACCAAGAGTATCCCGCCCACACGGCAGACCCTGGCAAGGTCCCCGTGGCGTATCCGTATGCCAAACACAGTAACAACAAGTCTCACAATGGAGACGATACTGGTGCCCACTCGAGCAAATCAATGAACAACGAGAGGACAGTGCTACAGTGCTGATCTGAAACACTCAGGAGGCAGAATCTAGGAAGCTTCAAGATTATCCGTCCCTGTGCAGCCCTGCGTTGGCTAAAATCAGCCAGGGGACTTCTGTTAACCATCTTCAGGCTTGGATTCCAGGAGCCTAGGGGCAAAGCATTCTCCACAGTGGCATAGAAAATTCACTTCCCCTCTCAGAGCAATAAGAAAGCCAAGTAGACTAGTTTCGAGGGCGCCAGCAAAACTAATCTGCTTAGCCATGTGTCTGCCTGATGGTGGGGGAGAACGAGAAAGCGAAAGCCCACAAACCTCGTTCCAGCTAATAAATACCAAAATGATGCACTATTACCGCATCATGCTTCAAAGACCCACTCGTAAGTCTATTTCAAAACTAATCACCATACAAATCAAGAATCGCCAGGTTATTACTTAAATCAAACACCCAGTGGCCCAGTTCCTCCTGGCTCTCGGAGACAGGGAGCGAGCAGGGATGTGACCGCTGTTAGATTTCCTATAAGCACTGCCCTTCTTTCTGATAGAAAAGGCACTTAAAATTCCTATCACAGGCGTGGAATGCCCGCCAGGAATCAAACTCCGACCCCTGAGCCAAAGACAACTTACCACTCGGCGCTAAGTGGGCAACTCAATTTACAAACTTGAATTCCTGCATTTTAATCCTTTGCAGAAAAATATTATCAGCAATATTAAATGAGCTGGATTCGGCTCATTAGAGGTTCACAAAGCAAACACGGGCAGCTTTGGAGGCCGTCCAAAGCCAAGTCAGGCCCAGGTGCCGATGTTCACTCCACGAAAACGCAATGTCACGTTATCTTTCAACTTTCCCCCCTGAAGAACACCAGGAACCAGGATGACAGACAACCCAGCCGCCAATTACCGGGCCAAGGACCTGGTTTGTCAAAAACTTTCACCTGTCGGGAACTGGCAAACAAAGCAACCCACAGAAAACGCCCTCACCGAAGAAGACAGACTGAAGCCAATGAAAGTGATGTGCCCGGCCGCCCCGGCCCCAGCTCTGCCGACTCTTTTCACCGGAGCGCGGCTGCGTGGGACCTCGGCACACGCGTTCCGAACCACAGTCCCGGTTATTTTTAGTCTCTCGGATCTCAAACCTGATACGATATTTCAAGGCTACTTCCTCACCTCCATGGAAGGGTGAGAAAGCCAGAGAGATTATTGAGAAGCCGCGATTATGATGAACTCAGCACGAAAAAGCAACACATACAGCCGGGCTCCCGGCCTCTTCCCAGACACACCGTGCTCCCTTCATTATCGCCGCGATCTGGGCTTAATTAGAAGGAGGCCTTTCTTGCGCTTAGCAGTGAAATACCTAATCTAAAAATCTTAATTAAAAATTTAACTGAAGTACTTCGGTGGGTGATCATCAGTTTGTCCCTTCGTACGAATCCGTGAGTTCGGGGATTTCCAAAGTAGGTGAGAGCCGTAAAGAATTCAAGTCGAGAAGCTGTGAACACTCCGACTCTTTCAGCTGGACCAATGTGGGGGGAAAAGATAATGAATCTATTCCTGGTACTCCTTCACGCGTGGGTCTTATGCCCACGAAGCCCATGGCAGACGCTACCAGTGGGACCAACTCATTCCCATCCATTCAGAGGAAAGGCAGCGACGCGCCCACGGCAGGCCGGGAGCATCTTTCCAAAACACACTTCAAATTTCACAAAAGGAAATACGGTGGAGAGGACAGTCTGGCGCGTTCCAGCGACTCTCAGCTGCTCTCCACTGGCCTCCATGCCTGAGCACCCGACGGCCCTTCTCCTACACACAGCCTCAGGGACACCGGAGTCCCTGCCTCAGCAGCCGGCCTTCCACAGCGGATAGGGGCGACAAAAATAATCCCCATGGACTGTTCTCAGTCATGCGCAAACCACCTCCTAAGCGGCATCCCCAACCACAAAGATGTTTACTCTAGACAGCTAAACTATTGCTAGAAGACATGAATTCATGCTGCAAAGACAACCAGGGCCCAGCTCCGTGCCCACCGAGTGCGGGATGGCCAGGGTGAGGCCCACTGGCCACTGAACGCCAGGAGCGAAGGTGGCGTCCATGGTGAGGACCCAGGCCTGGCCTCCTCGAGCGTCCTCCCTCAGCCTGACATACAAAGTCTTCTCGGCCGACAGGCAGAGGCAGAGGAGAGGCCAGACCCACCAGGAGAGGCGAGAAACAGCTTCCTTCCCTGTGCTGAAAACCAGCTCCGGAGTATGACTCCACTGGGGAGCAGGGACCCCAGTGGACCATTCTCCTGGGGAAACGGGGACCCCAGTGGGTCATTCTGCTGGGGAACAGGGACCCCAGTGGGCCATTCTCCTGGGGAACAGGGACCCCAGTGGCTCATTCTCCTGAGGGAGCAGGAACCCCAGTGGGCCATTCTCCTGGGGAACAGGGACCCCAGTGGGTCATTCTCCCGGGGGAACAGGGACCCCAGTGGGCCATTCTCCTCAGCCAAATGTCCCGAGGGAAAGGGCAGTCCTGGGTGGAGCCAGGCTGGCACTGCCCCAAGCGGCTCAGAGGCACCGGGCGGGATCACAAAAGCACCCTTGCCAACACCATAACAAGCCGGGATCCAGTTTATCTTTCCTGGATTTCACAGTTCCTTGGGCCAGCATGGCTACCGCTGCAAGGGCATGAATGGTCTCTTCTGATGAACCAAACATGTGGTTCTGGAGGTAAAAAGAGGCTTTGTTTTTCTTTTAAGCAAGAAAAAGGGGGGGGCTTGGGTTTGTTTCAAATATAAAATCCAAGATAACAGATATATGTCAAAGCCTCCCATAGAAAATACATAAAGAAATCCTTTTCAAAACGTAAGGAGGAAATGCCACATTCGGAAATGCGAGCAGAAATTAATTTGGGGGGGGGGGGGGGACACACTGGAAAAACTGCTTCAAGTTGCTGGGGATGGTGGGTGGTGCCAGGTGCTTGTTGCCTCGGGGCTAGTCGGGGTAGGGGTGGGGGCGCTCAGAGACACCAGGACACAACAGCCAGCACGAGGGGCAAGAGTGGGGCTGGACACGAGGCTCGAGGACCCCTGGGCTACCCACGCTCTCAGTGACACCAGCGTCCCCCAGAGAAGCCTCTTCACAGCTCAGAATGGGACACCACAGCCCGGCTCACTCTGGGCCCCGGCTCTCTACCATCCTACACCAGTGATGACGAGTCCAGCTGCCAAGCCCTGCTGGGGACACTGGCCTCCCGCCAGACAAGCATCTGCTCTAAGACGGCCGCCCCGGGGCCCCTTGACCCTGGTTCGCTGAAAGGGGGCAGAGAGGGGCTGCATCTGCAGCTATCTGAGGGAAGCAGAAAACCCAGGAACCGTCCCCCTACCCCCACCCCGCCCCGTGTTCTCCGGCCCGACCCAGACAGACGTTAATGAGACCGGCGGCACCAACCTGCTGTTGCGGGTACTGCATCCCCCCCATGGCGCCGGGGGTCCGACCCTGGAGTGCCATCGGATACCGCTGGGGGCCCGGGGGCCCGTAGGAGCCTGCGGGGTACGGGCCGCTCTGCGGGGGCTGCGAGTGGGGGTTCGCGCCCATCCCGTAGAGCTGGGGCCTCTTCATCGCCATGGGGTCCATCGGGCTGCCCTGGGAGGGAGAGAGGAAGAAGCACCTTCGTTATTACCGAAACACAGCGACACCATCTGCAGCACAAAGACCACGACCGGACCGGCGGGGGCGGGGGGGGGGGGGGGGGGGGGGGGGAGGGGAGCATGGGCAAAACTAGATGTACACAAGACTTTTTTTTTTTTAATGGTTAGGAAGGGGGCTGGAGCAATAGCACAGCGGGGAGGATGTTTGCCTTGCACGCGACCGACCCGGGTTTGATTCCCAGCATCCCATATGGTCCCCCGAGCACCGCCAGGAGGAATTCCTAAGTGCAGAGCCAAGAGTCACCCCTGTGCATCGCCGGGTATGACCCAAAAAGCAAAAAATAAATAAATAAGCAAATGTATGTTTAGGAAGAAGGTTCTTAACAACGAGGAGGACTCCGGAGGGAACAGTTTAAGGAAAGACGGGGACGCCGGGCACAGAGGACACAAATTCCGCACGGTAGAATTTGAGGCTCAAATTCGACCGCGCAGAAACGGAAAGACGAACGTGATGCGCGCGCTAAGCCTCCTCTCTCGGGCTCAGGCAGACGGGGGCGAGGGTCAGGGGGACGCCTGACATGGAAGCACTCGGGGCGGTGACCGGGCATCATCGGAGAGAGACAAGTGACTGCGGGGCCCAGAGCGCGGGGGCAACTCCTCCGAGCACCGCACACCAGACCCCACGCGTGTCCCACCACCAGTAACATCACCTCGGAGCCAGGCCCTGGCCTTCACTCGGGGCTTGGCGAGTCAGCCCAAAGGCCGATGGCCGAGAGCGGCCAGCAGGGGGGGTCGCCCTCCAGCCCCTCTTCCTGGCGTTTCCCCCCGGCCCCCGAGGCCCTGTCCATACTGAGCTGGGGCCTGAGGGTGTCTCTGGCTGGGAGAACCATGTGCGGCGCAGGACACCCACCCAGAGGGGCAGGGGGCAGGCAGGGGAGGGCGGCGTCTGCCAGGAGCAGAGTGAGGAACTTGGGGGGGGGGGGGGGCAGCTGACGCTGCACAGGAGGGTCCATCCCAGGGGCACAGCATGGTGGTGCCCACAGAGGGCCCGGGAGACCCACCCCCGGAAGAACTGCGCCGAGCCCTGGACAGCGAGCTGGGGTCCCGCCAGTGGACTTCTCCGGGGGACTGTAAGCAGGGCGGTCCGGGGACAGAGGGGCCAGCGCTGGGGACGACCCCTTCTGCTTTACTCGCTGTGACCTCCCTCCCCAGGACACAGTGGAGACAGTGCACTGGGCATATAGTACATGCTCGCTAAACACAGCAGGAATACCGGGGGGGGGGGGGGCCGCGGGGGGGAGGGGCAGAACCCCGGAACTACCATCACGGCGGGAAGTTGGTGTGGGAGGCAGAGGATGAGGCTAGGGTGCTGCTCAGCAGACACAAAGCTGAACTGGGCTGGACAGGGGACAGCACTGCCACCCCTGGCTGCTGGCAGGTGACGAGGACCGAGGCCAGGGCTGCAGCGGAAGGGGGTGGAGGTCCGACAGGCCCCTCCTGAGGCCTTACAGTCCCAGCTGCTTCAGCCCCGGGGTCAGCAGGGGCCCTCTGGAGCCCGCACACAAGCCCCCTCATTCCCACTGTGCTGGGCCGACACCGCCAAGGATTGCACATGGTGCAGGGAAGGGGGTCAGGAGGGGGCGCGGGGGTCCCATGGGGGAGAAGCAGGTGTGGGGGGGGGGTCGTGGCTCTCACTCGAACAGGAACCACCTGAGCCCTTCCCGTCACATGACCCGCCTCACACTCAGCACACAAGCCTGCACCCTCCACGCCCCCCATCGGAAAGCTGAAGCGAGGCCCGAGAAGTCAATCTGCTCTGAATGACTCAGACAGAGCATGTGCCCACCCCGGGCCGGGCGCTGGCCTCCGCACGCTGCGCCCAAGCGAAGGTCAAGTCCAACTTCCCGCCACCCCATGGAAACCCAGGTGGAGGCCGTGAGGCTGGAACCTGGGGCAGCAAGGCTGCATCCGTGGACCCAGGCTCCTGTCACCTTCCCGGCTAGTCCAGGCTGGCTTCCTCAAACAATCCCTTGAAAACGGGGTGGGGGGGGGAACGATCACAGTGTCTCTATTTTGGGGCCACCCATAACCGGCGCGGCAAGCTCATCACTGATGAAAACTGTTTTTGCAATATCTGTCTCATCAACTGCCAGAAACCCGACAGTCCTGCTTAAAATTCAGCTATCTGTGCCCATGTCAGAAACGCTGGCTTAACCCCGAGATTCCCGGGACCTGGAAGGCGGCCGGAAGCACGCGGGTTCTGCACCTCTCGCAGGCCCCAAAGGCCTCCTGGTGGGCGCTGGGGGGGTGGGGGGGAGAACCGCGCTCAGGGCGAGCTGGCCCTCCGCCACCCCTAGTGACCTGGCTAGCGTCAGACTGTAATGTTATTCATCCACAAGGCTGCCCTGCTACATTCCTGCTGCTTTTGCATTCAGGAGGGACATCTGCTTCTCACTATCTCCTTGAAGAAAAAAAAAAAACAGACCAAACTGAACCTCCAAGTTCCTTGATGGTTTTGTTGATCTTTGGGGCCACGCCCAGCAATGCTCAGGGCTTATCCCTGGCTCTGCACTCAGGAATGACTCCTGGCAGTGCTCAGGGGGGCCATGTGGGATGCCGGGGGTCGGTCCCGGGTCTGCCGCCTGAAAGGCAAAATCCCTACCCACTGGCCTATGGCTCCGGTCCCTCTAACTGCCTTGAAAACAACGGAAGGCCAGTTTGCTTCTCTAATGCCATGTCAGGTAACATCGTCTCTGCTGCTCCTCGCCTGACATCAGCACACATGGGAACATCGCCCACCGCAGGCGGGGGGTGGCTGTGTGACGAGCCAGGGATCCCACCTCTGATACTGTCCCTCGTTCCCCACGAGACATCAGAGACGTCTCTCTCAACCCGTTATTCCACGCTGGTTTTTCCTTGCTCAGTACTATTCCATGGACACTGCAGTTTGAGTGTTAATTAAAAAAAAAAAATCAATGAGCCCAGAGCTTTGAGGGCCTCACCTCATGATGTGAGACCCGTTTGTGAGAGCTGTGAGTACCTCCTGCCTGGTGGCGAGGAGGACCGCACATCCCCCCCTTGGGGCCCCTTCTGGGAAGCCCCCCTAACTCCCTTCTCTCCCATACGCGGTGCTGCAGATACTCGGCAGGTATTCCACCGTAGCAAAGGTCAGACGTGTTCTGAGGCTAAAGCAATCATCTAGCAGGAACTGGGGGCAGGGGGAGGGAATTCCACTGCATGTCCTGACCCAGGCCCGATCCCCAGCATCCCATTTGGTCCCCCAAGCACCACCAGGTATTCCCCCCACAAATTCACCAAAAACAGTTCAAACATTTTTTTTTTTTTTGCTTTTTGGGTCACACCTGACAATGCACAGGGGTTACTCCTGGCTCTGCACTCAGGAATCACCCCTGGCGGTACTCAGGGGACCATATGGGATACTGGGAATCGAACTTGGGTCAGCCGCCTGCAAGGCAAATGCCCTACACGCTGTGCTATTGCTCCAGCCCCAAACATATTTTCAGAAGCTGTCCTGAGAACTCAAATACCCACCCACCCTCCACCCACCCATTTTGCTCTTTCTGTTTCCAGGTCACTTCTGAGATTTGAACCTGGGCCACCCATGTGCAAGGCAAGTGCCCTACCCACTGTACTATCGCTCAAGCCCCTCAAATACCCTTTCTAAAAAAGCAGAAGTTCCTTATCACCTCTGTGTGCTGGGGATCTGGGTTCAAATTCACAAGCCTTGCATGTTTTTATAATAAAGATATGTAGATTAATGCATTCATATGCAGATATCAAGGCAAGGTGACCGTCTATTAGCAGCTTCTTTATTAAATCTCCAACCAAAAACACATATCACATTTTTTTTTCCCCAGCCAAATTCCTTAAACTACAAATCAAAGACATCCCAAATGCCCAAAGTACTGCCAAAACGTGCCCTTTCTCTGTAAAAAAATCACAGCTACAAACTTGGACGAGAAAAGAGGTCAGCGGGGAGAAAGAAAACCTAGTTCCCTTCTGAATCATTATCTGCTCAAACATTCCCCCCGAAAGAAAAATAATTCAAGTAATATTCCATTACTTACGACCCAACCAAAAAACTACAAACCCAATGCAAGGAAATTAGTATTTCAACAAGTAGGAACAGGGATAAAAACCTTTCTGAAGACTGACAGTAAATTGTCACGAAAGCTTTAAAAGCTGGGAGAAGAAGGAAAGAGAGAGAGAGAGAGAGAGAGAGAGAGAGAGAGAGAGAGAGAGATGGGGAAGAGGGACAGAGACAGAGAGAGAAACACAGAGAGGGGGAGAGACAGAGAGAGGGAGAGAGAGAGAGAGACAGAGACAGAGAGGGGGAGAGACAGAGACAGAGACAGACAGAGGGAGACAGAAAGGTAGAGGGAGAGAGAAGGAAAGTGTCTGCGACTGGCAGGCTGGGGTGGGGGTGGCGGGAGGGAATCTGGGGTCCCTGGCAGTGGCGAGCATACACTGCTCGTGGAAGGACGTGTCAGACACTGTATGGTCAGACACTGTATGAGCAGCTTTGCAACTATGTATCTCTCGTTGCAACTATGTATCTCACAGCGAGAACAGAACCCAGGGCTGAGCTGACAGAGGGCAGCTGCCCACCAGGGCTGGGCGTGAGCGCATCCAGGGGTCTGCAGATGCGCGTCAGCTGCACTTTGAAGGGGGCAGCAATGTCGAGCAGGGGCCTCTGCCTCTCCACTTCCTGGCCCCAGGGGACCTGTCTGTCCCTCCGCTGTGCCCAGCCTCCAGGCCGCGGGCAGGGGGTGTCTCCGGGCCTGGTGTCTACGGGTCCACCAGAGTAGCAGAAAGGACCCCGGAGGCCCGGGGATGCCTGCTGGTCACCAGAAGAGCCCAAAGAGCCCACAACCGGAGGAACCATGGGCATGACCACCCAACGACTGCTGTCTTTCCTCGCTGCCCGGCTCTAAGGGCACCAGTGGCCCCCTGTGTACCACCGGGCGGGACCCC